TTGCAGAAAAAATTCTTATTGATGCATGTCAAGTTTACTTCGACAAAAAAAAAAACTCTCCTGTAATTATTGATCAATACTTGAGAATCATGACTTGTTGTACCTATCTATCTTAAGTGCTCAATGAAACAAGTGGACCACTGACAATTTTCAAACTGCCATATCTCTTTAGAAAATGAATGGATTTTCAATCGAAATGCAGTGCTTGGAAGATGCAATCTTTCTGTTCAAGATTCCTCGTTCAAAACTCGTCGGGAGTTTTTCTGTCATACACCAAGTGTTCGAAAAAAGTATTACAAAGATGAGAGAATTGAAACACTTCCGTATTCCAGGGAATGTTTTTTATGTTTCTACTAATCATTTTTTTCGAACGGTTAAGTCAATATCTCGAAACGGTTTTGTAATTTTCCATATTTCTCATACATGATGTTCAAAACCGATAATTTTTCATTTTTAGGTTTTTATCGCATCATTTTCGATTTTAAAATTATGCAAGCCACATTCAACGTATTTTGCCATTCTATACGACGGAACACATCCTAGAAAATGGATTCATATTGCGTTGAAATCATCGACAACTTCAATATGGTGCTGCCATAATCATATGATATGCTAAACACAAATCCTTCATTTGGATCGATTGCTCTGCTCAGTATTTAGAGTGGTCTTCACAAGTTAAATAATTAGGTGTGTGCATTGACAAAAAGCTCACCTGGGCCCAGCACATTGAACAGCAAGTTTCTAAAGCTAAACGAGCCATTGGAGCCCTGTATCCATTTCTAAACAGGCGAAGTAAATTGGGTTTGAGACAAAAATTGAATATTTATATCATGGCTATCAGGCCAATTTTACTGTATGCCTCAGTAGTCTGGGGCCACACAGCTAAATCTCATATCACCAGATTACAAACATTGCAAAACAAAGTCGCGAGAATGGTGACAGGATCTCCTTGGTATGTTCGGAATAACCAGATCGCCAGGGATCTGAAACTCCCCTCAATCGTGTCAGTCATTAAAGAACGAAACATCAAGACTTTCGAAAAAGCTGAGGTTCATGAGAATCAGCTTCTTCGAAATGCAGTTGATTATGACCCAGGTGATCAATCAAAGTTCAAAAGACCGAGATTGTCCATAAACTAGAGAAAATATCGACATTATGACCAAATTTACTATACTCAAGTTTTTGATATTTATTTTTTCCGTTCGATCTCTTTCAATTCTTAGAATGTATTTCTGAAACTTATTTGGGGCAGAAGGGCTGTTCGCATCAAACTTCAATACCGTTTTTATTTTGTTCCTTAATAGATATCAGGATAAGAGGGACTCTTCCCTGGTCTGAATAAAATAAAAGAAAGATCCAATATATATATATATATATATATCTGCTCAGTATGTCGAATTGATTTCGTGTTTTTTTAGATAAGGCGATCTAAAGGGGGCCCAAGGGGGGCCCTTCTGGATTTTTCTGACCAATTCATACAATAACGATGCTACAATGGTTTTAAGATATTCCTGAGATGGTATGGAGTCAAGAAACCTATCTATCACAAGGTTTTACATCGCGTAATCGAAAATCAATCAAGAAAGTCGGTTTCTTGTAATCAACACTCATTTACGCAATTATTACCACTGCAACACCCAATATAATGCGTCCCGTCGAACCGATGATGACAGTTGTGAAAGGTTCGACAGGAGGCATTATATTGGGTGTTCCAATGGTATTTATTGCGTAAATGAGTGTTGATTAAAAGAAATCGACTCTTTCGATTGATTTTCGATTACGCGATGAATAATCTTGTGATAAATAGGTTTCTTGACTTCATGTCAACTCAGGAATATCTTAAAACCATTGTAGCATCGTTTTTGTATGAATTGGTCAGAAAAATCCAGAAGGGCCTCCTTGCGCCCCCTTGGATTGCCTTACCTGAAAAATCACGAAATCAATTCGAGATATCGAGCTGAGCAATCGATCCAAATGAAGGATTTGTGTTTAGCATAGCATATGGTTATGGCAGCACCAAATTGAACAGCCGATTCCACCAAATTCTGAACATTTCTCCTCAAACATTATTTTTTTTCTGTTGAAGTTGTCGATGATTTCAACGCAATATAAATCTATTTTCTAGGATGTGTTCCGTCGTAGAGAGTGGCAAAATACGTTGAATGTGGCTTGCATAATTTTAAAACCGAAAAAGATGCGATAAAAACCAAAAAATGAAAAATTATCGATTTTGAAGATCTTTGTATGAGGAATATGGAAAATTACAAAACCGTTTCGAGATATTGACTTGAACGTTCGAAAAAAATGATTAGTAGAAAAATAAAAAACATTCCCTGGAATACGGAAGTATTTGAATTCTCTCATTTTTGTAATACTTTTTTCGAACACTTGATGTATAATGACAGAACAACTCCCGACGAGTTTTGAACGGGGAATCTTGAACAGAAAGATCGCATCTTCCAAGCACTGCATCCCGATTGAAAATCCATTCATTTTCTAAAGAGATATGGCAGTTTGAAAATTGTCAAATATTTCAGTGGTCCACTTGTTTCTTTGAGCACTTTATTTCCGAGGATATTCCTAAACGGTTCACTTCGAATATGCTTATTAAAAATAAACTGTATCTTATCTAGTAGTTCAGACTGATTATTCGATCATTATCAATTAAAATTAGTAAATTAAATCAGGACAGTTAAATTTTCTTGTTTCATTACCATTCATTATTTATAATTAGCGGTTTCTTCTAAATTTATATCCAATTAGAGAAAATCATCAACTTCACATTCAATTTTATTGCTAAAATAGGTAGGTATGACCATGGTGAGATAAATAGTGACTGTCAGTTAAAAAAATCCCATCCCATAAACGAATTGTGTGGATCGGTCATTTTGGATCATGCTGTACATAATTATACATAAACGTTTATTACATCATATCATAGATGCTTTTGTTGTTGTGCTATTTTTGGCTGATGCAATTATGCAAACGAAAAGGAATGTAGGCGTCTAAATCAGCGAACACATGGTCCAGAAAATAACGTTTCAAAACTGAAAATATTAAATAGTATAAGGTACGGCTAAAATGAATAAACCTCGGAATAAACACACACACATAGTTTATATTATTAATGGTGCATTCATGCATGTTTATTACTCAGACTTCGCAAATGCAAATAATATATGGGTCACTCGAAAATACCCAGCTTCACAATATTAAAATATGAATGACGCCCCAAAATGTCACTTTATTTAAAATTTCTCTACTAGATTAGAAATCGTGAAGGGAAATTCAGTCAGGAGTAATGGACACCTGACATTGAAATATCTGAAACTTCAAATGCATTTTTCTGCATCGAATGGGGGAGACCACTGATTTTTTGAAACGACATTATCGTGAACTCAATACTGAAAAACTACCAGTGAATTAATTTTGAATTTTTTCATTCATGCAAAGACGATGAAAAAAATAAATTAGAATATGTCCATTTCTAAACACACAATTCCTACGCCATTTGAATTTTTGTCAATTCATTGGTGAGACTGGTGCGACGTCTTAGTCCCAACACGCCTATTGTCCTTGAACTCACCAATCACACTGCAACACTGCAGAATGACGAGGTATCAGAGAGAGATAGCTACAGTGCGGGACTAATACGTCACAGCTCCACCATCATATTTGGCTTTTCGAAATAACGAATGAAATATGCTGATTTCAAAACGATATAGATTCGATTCCCTTCAACTTCAACTCATAATATTGATTGTAGATCAAACGTAAATCATGATTCGTCGATTGAAAGAGGTTTGCACGGATTTCTTCCCTCATTGATATCGAAATTCCACTGAACTGGGTCCTCTCCTACGAATAAATCGATACACAATCGAAAATAAATGATCTTGTCCAGAAATAAAAAAAAAATATTTTTCGGACTGCAAACGCAATTTTCAACCTGAAATTTGAAATATTTCGAAAACGGTTAGGCTTGGGTATAGGGGACATCATACATGAAACATGTTCAGAATCATGGCATCATGCCTCAAATCTAAAACCTTGATAGTATACAGAGTGTCCCATTTAAAATAACGAAGTTGGGGACCACTTCCGGTACAACCGGAAGTGCCACAATCTTCAAAATATTTTAGCCGGATAGCACTTATCAACAATAGTGAAATCCCAAATTTTCAAATTTGGCTCACCTATGGTTTTCTATAAATTGATCGATGCAATTCCCGGAGGGACACCCTGTATAATATTCAATTTCGATTAGTGTCACTTATGTCGCCCGTGAGCGATACGTTTTCATCTCTGCATAAGACTATAATAATAATTATGTGGATTTCAAAGTCGTTTTATTCAATGATGATGCAAGATAGAGGTTGTACGACAGCTTATCTACCTATACTACTATATTGAAGATGTAAGTAAAGTTGTGTAATAACCTCGGTAATAACTGACAATAATCTGAAGATTCGTCATTCCAACAAAACAGTCGGTAGTTTTACAAATTGCAACACATGATGATAGCCATAACTTTTTGTCATTCAGATTTATTGAGCTTCTATTTTTCAAGTTTGATTAGGTAACGTAAGAAAACTGATGTTACGTAACGTGAATCAAAACCATTTCTGTGTTTCCTATAGATAAACCATTATCATTTGAATTGACCATGCTTTTTCAATTCCCTGAGGACGGTATTGTGACACATCAAAACGTCGACTTGCGAAACGTAAGTCATGAACTTAAGTACAACACTTACCATGACACTGAAATTAACAAAAAATACCTATTCCACAGTATTAGAAAGTCAAGAAAAATACGAGATGGAATTTGCACAAACTGGATCGGAGTCATTCAAGACGAAGGAACCACATTTTATGGTATTATAGGTACTAATGCATACATTTTATTAGGAGATTGAATCATACTAAAAACATTCATGCAAATTTTGATATAAACTTTATGGTTCAACTACTGGTAGAAAAATTAAAAAACATATTCACCTGAAATTGCTTTATCCTCGTCAGATGCACCATCTGCAATAAACGAAATTTTCAAGTAAAATCATTGCCAATACAATCCACACTCAAGTAACAATCACACGAAAACAAATATTCAACTAAATATTTCAAACTACAAGTCAATAATTTGAAAAAACTATACAATTAAATATCTAGCGAAGACATTTTCATAAATTAGATTGAATACTCATCTACACTACATTTTCTACAAGGAATTCCATACTACCAATTATACGTATTTTTCACAACAAAGTAAACATTCTCTAAAGCAGTTTCTATTAGACTTCACATCAACAATATACCCATAAATTTGAGCGGTATTTACCTATATTATTATAAGATAAGGGATTCAATTCTCAAAGCAAATTATTCGAAATCTGAAGCAGTAATCTTTTGATTCCTGATACTATTTATATCTCTTGTTTGAACCAATTTGCTGCTGAATTATAAGAATTTATATGAATTCTGGAAGAGCAACTCAAATGATACGAGTTCAAGTTTCATTATTCCAGATTTTTTTGGGATTTTCTATCCTCGTCTCTATGAAATAAAAATATGAATACTACTTCAATATACGTGTAGTGAGGACAAATCTGATGATTTTCCCCAAAATGTCACTGCGTTTAAAGAATTTTCCTATCAGAGTCTAAAAGAAAAATTCACTAGCTTGTCAGTGTCAATTTGTATTGAAAAAGTTTTGGAGAACAGAAATAAAGGCATATAGAAAAAATATAAAAAAAAATTCACTTATCTTTGGACTTTTCGGGAACGAATCTGCTCCCGTTTTCAACATAAAAAATGGGTTTTTTTGTGTGGCAAATTCATATTTGTCTTGACACTTCTCAGTTGTCAGTGACAATTGGTGACGTTGGTAATCAAATGAGTTACAGGATGTTTTCATTAATTAATCATGAATTTACCATTTTCATTTTCAGATTTCAATAGTGAATACCATGTTCTATCTATATCAACTGAACAGGAAGCAATGCTAATGTCTCCGTTCAGAAGAATACAAGCAAATTCCTTGGTTTTTCTCTTCTGGTTGTTATCTTCTTTTCCAATGATCTTAATATTATTCCACTCTGCCATATGTTGTCCATTTTCAGTAAGGATATGTTCAGCTGAACAATAATTGAGATTAATCGAATTTAATTAGGAGTACCTTTTTTGTAGTGAACAAGTTACGCAATCCAAATTTCATATACAAATCTCTTCCTTTCTATTGGCGAAGAATAAGTGTTAGATGTTTATTTACTGAAAAAATCAAATTCTACGCCCATGGAACGATAGTTTTCATTATCATGATATGGTTCTTATTGCCCAATAAAGTTATGCCAACGTACAAAATTTGAGTGGAGCCGTTTCAAAGTTATGAAGCAAAAACGATTTGAAAATTGTACCAACAGAGCTGTCTAGCGACCAACCTAAGCAACTTTGTACTGACGAAAGTTTGCTTGCATCGAGTTGTTTTTATCTGAGGAATAAGTGATTAGTTTTTGTAAAGACCTTTTAGGGACAACCAGTATATTTCAGAAAAATAGAAGTTCATGTGTCATTACCAGAATGTCAGAATTGGATTCAACATGAACATTTCAATCGATGTAGTTACAGCATGTGCACATGCAACATATTTTTTTTATAAAACGAAAGTTGAAGTTAATAACAAACGGTTGATTTCCCGTCATAGCGTCATTATTTCTTATGTACTCAGATGATTCACGGCCACAAATTAGTAATAGCTATTATCTTCTGGCTTTTAGTAAATAATTCGTCATAATAATCGGCACATCGGCACGACAGAGTATTATTCGCAAAACATTGTATATATGCAAAATTCTGTTGTGGCAAGGTCAATTTGTTTACAACTTACTACACACTTCCATGGTTTCTTGATGTGATCTTAAATGTACGACCAATACTTTGAGAATATGTTTTTCCTGTGAGATTGCGGAACAGTTACTATTCCGGACGATTTTTCATTTTGAAAATTATACTTTTCCGTACGATTTTACTTTTCTGCACGATTTTATCGGGGGTAATAACACTAGATCAGATCTAGCTGGATATTTTTTGTGCTCGTTTTCGAATACTTACGACTTATTGGCAATTGAATGAAAGCTGTTCTAAAAAAATCACGAGACGTATATTGTTTTCACCACGTAGGTATTTTTTATAATCTTCCCCATTATGTTTCTTCATATTGACTCCCCAGTTCATCAATATTCCTGCCACATTTTTTACTAACTGTTCGGTTTCCAAGTTTCGTTGTTTACAAAATTCGCTAAATTGGTTCCAAATGGAGGAATTACTTTTTTTTTTGTATTATCTGGAGTTGATTTTTCAATCTCCTTTATCATTTCTGTCTCGCAAATATTTTCAAATTTCCGCACATACCTACTAGAATATCATAGTTCTACGGCTATAACACAAAATTGCTCTTGTTTTACTGTGTTCGATACATCAATGAGGTACTTTGTATGTCATCAATTTTATTTCCGTATCTCATATTCCAATGACTCCATTGTGTTATTATTAAAAAAAAAAAACTCATGTCTAATAGGTGAGCATCACATGAGAAGAAATCAGATGGCTTCAAGACGAAGAAATAAAAAATGCCGCCGTTATCTGTTACTAGCTGTTACAGCCATGAAAAAATTATAGCGTATAACCAGAGATTAGTGTGTATAATCTCTGGTATAACTCTCGGTATAATTCGCACGGAATGCTAATTTCCGACTAATTTCCTACTCGAATGATTGTAGCATGAGACGTAGGACACCCTGTAGAGGTTTTATCAGTACGTGTCCCGAGACCTGTTCAAACAATATACTCTACTCCAACCCTTCGGCTCTTCACATCTATTCACCAGATTAAATCCTTTGAACGACCCAACTCTTTTCTTTCCACCATTTCTATCCCAAACAGAGGTTTGTTTGAATTGTTGATCAAGTGACATAGGTATTGATTATTTTTGTGCCTAATTGCTCAAGTTTGTTATGTTCAACAAGGTGCTCCTTGGAAATCTCATAATTTCAATCCCACTTCTGTCACCAACTGTTAGGTACCTATGCCGGTTGGTTGAAGAATCTGTCAAAGCTAAACCAACGTTATGAAAGAATTATACTTATAGATCTTATTCTATCTATTTATATAGAGAGTAGCTAATGACAGCATTTCCATTTCAATGAGTGTATATTATTATAGTTGTTGTGATTTCACTGCCGGATCCTACCCACGTAATTATGTAATCCTGCGATTGCCACCACTGACAGAAACAAGCGCCGATGCCGTTCGTCTCGGCCCTCTCGACAACATCAAACATCAGCTTCAGCCATCAAGCTATCAGCGTTCATGTTCATACATAGAAATTAAATAGAGATGCACCGCGCAGCGCACAGCGCGATCGTTTGTTTTATTGGAATGGCAGCCCGAGGCGGCGTTTCATAACACTGCACGTTCCGACCATTTCAAGGCCGTCTAACGCAAATGTGGAACACAGAATCTGGGTTAAGAACTTGTCCTGCTGAAGAGAGATTAATTGAGCGTTATTAGCACAGTTTATTATTAGGGCCATTAATAGGTGAATCTGGACATGCATATACCTACTAACTACTACTATTTGCTACGGGGGGCGTGTAGTAGGTATATCAAATAATAATATGAATATATGCCTACCTACATACCTATATTACACAATGCCTATCTACTAATAGCATCCAGTGACTCTAATGTAGCCAATGTAGGTATACCAAGTGATATGGTTTAATAGGTATTTCATATTATGAAGGACCAATTTTTGTTAATGGATTGAAATTTACAGAGTACCTATATTCATATTCACAAGAATTGTGACGTGTACTATGACTACAGCCCATACGAGTAAAATGCACCACTGGAATATCGTCAAATTACGATTATGTTTCTATTTCAGTTATAGATGTGTTTAGGAACTTGTTAAGCAAAGCCAGTTGAAATCTAATAGGAACGGGAAACTGCCGAAATGATTTAGGTATTTATGAACATATATGGAGATCAAACTACTAGAAATCAAGTTGACTAGCTCAACGCTCAACAAACAACCTGTTGATGACACACCATTCAAGGTTGCCAAAGTGAATTCGGCAACCACATTCAGGATACCTACTTACTCAACATCCTCGTCAACATCTTTACATTAACATGCTTCTAAATGCACCTAGGCTCAGCTCCTCTGACATTAAGAAATAAGAATCGATTGAATATCTTGGATTTCCAAATAATGGGATTGTGTTACATCCACATTGCGACGTTGTCACATAAGCCAAATTGGGAAATTAGAGGGCTGAAATGCCGTTGAAAATCACAGGAACGCATGCGCATTTTCCTATTATTCACGTTTGTGTTGATAGTGGGCTTACGGGTGTACGTTATTTCACGTATACCTTATATCATCGTACGTTAACCAGACTATACTCGAAATATGCCGATGAGTCAAAATCATCAAATTCGGGATCCCCAAGGAGTTCTGCAACAAGGAGTCCTCTCATTTCAACAGGAATAAATGTTCGGATCTAAACACACAACCAAAAAAATGACCAATACAAACCGAAAACAAAATGTATTATTACGTTATGATGACAGTGACGACCAAAGTGACGACTTCAACTCAATTCAACGACAAAACGTAAACATTATTTTTCGTACGTTAATGTCTACGTACAGTGATTACTTCGACTCTCTGATATTGAACTAGTGAATCTATTGTAGATGGAGGAAGGAGCTATGACATCACAGCATAAGTAAGTTCTATAGGACTTATATACTCACAAGCTAGAATGTGTGCTAGACGATGTATAGGTATAAAAGGCATACCTATCTATATACCGGGTGACAGACTCATATAGGGTATTTATGGTATTCCCCACTTTTCTCATTCAACACCCTGTATTTTATTCCATAATCGGTTAGGGATTATCATAACGAATTGAACAATACCACCGGATTTGATTGGGATATTTCAAACGATTATTTGGAATATTTTCTCGTTCGAATAAGTTTCCATAAGCTCAATGTGTGTGACTGCGCAATATCGAAACTTCTTTCTCTGTCACACTCATTGAGCTTATGGAAACTTCGAAAGCGAATATCTTGAATTCGTTATATTAATCCCTTACCGATTATGGAATGAAATACTTGGTGTTCCATTTGAAAATCGACAGTTGTTGGGATTATCAGGAAAACCGGAAGATAAAAAAGATTCCTAAAAGGCGAGTGTCCTGTAGTGAGCTTATTATCGATGTTTTCAATTTTCTGAAATATGGCTAGAAAAACAAAATCAGTCAGTGTCAGCCGGTAGAGTCAACAAAAAATGTAATGTTTGACCATTATAATTTATAAAGCAAACTGAGTATAGGTAGGTATACGTAAGATTGGATTTTGTGGTGCGGTACCCATGTATATTATTTCAAGAAAATCTACAAAAATATATACATGTAATACTTATTGAACAATAAGAAGTAGGCGAGGAAGTAAGAAAGGGTCTAGAAAAAACAAGAAACATAAAGAAGAAAATGAACAAAAAAATATTATGGATCAACAACCTGATGTTTTTATCATTATGTAATTATTCCGGAAGCAATGAATTTAGAACTGGCAACCATGTCCATGACTTCATGACGTCAGAATTTGCCAGTTGCCACAGAAATATTGGAATGATCAATGAAACAAGCGACAAAGCGAATGGAAGAACAATAATTTGTTACATAAAAAATTGCGTTCAACATCCTGTGTGGTGTTGGACATCATTTCATAAATTCATGTTGTGCTACTTATTCACAAGGCATTAATGATTTTCCTGGTTTTCCTCTACAAACAACAAGTGCCAAATTTTGTGAAAATGAAAATATAGGCCGCAAGTGACCTGGCCAATAGGGGAGTAACCAGCCGACCAACCAGCTGATTGTGTGAAGTGAGAAGTAAAGCAGTACACCCACCTTGCGGCACTCTCTCTCGTATGTCACGAAAACAGGAAAGTCATCACCCATCCTAGAGACCTACATACTACATAATTATTAATAGCGATAGCGACAGCCTCCAATCCAATCGACAACCTCTCATTACTAGGTTAATTATTAGGCGTTCTATTTGACATTGAAGTCATTCAACAAATGAGTAATGACAGCTACCGACCGACCGAAACGTCACAGTCGGCCAAGGAAAACATGTAATGAGCTAGTCGCAAAAAATAAACAACAAAGCGGAAGCTGGGATTTGTAGCACGCTCACCTGAACTGAAGTGGGAGCGCTTGTTGTCCCCGTTTTCAGCATCCCCGTCGAGTGGTCTTTTCCTGGAGTCGGCTGCCTCTGGCGAGGGACAAGTTTCCATTCCCGAGTCGGCGGCCATCTTGATCTCGGCGTTATTCAACTGTCCATTAGCGTAGAACGAGACAGAGAGAGAGAGAGAGCACAAAAAATAATAATCAACGGCACACAGCACAATCTGACACCGATGCGCGGCCGAAACGATTTTTGCGAATGTTAGGCCCGGATAGGACGTTTCCACACTCTACGCGCACTTCCAGTGGACTGCCGACTGCCTTCGAATTCGAAATTTCAATTTTCTAGCGGGGTGCTCTGGTGATTAGATAGTGACTCCATAATTTTCCTGGTATCCCCACTGCTATCGCTAGTCAACCTTCGAATAATTATTGTATTCGGTGGTTTAAATTCTATACTGGCCGATTCGCTATTATTATTGGTAATCTGCAATAAAATATAGGTACTTATTTTACTGGGAACTTCTATCTTTCCATTGAAGTATTTATATACACATTTGACAACTTCTGTCAATTGCAAATCAGAATTCTTTCACCAAATTTAGAAAATCTCACGTGCTCACATCACAATTTTCATTATCTACGTACCTCGAGAATTCATACTAATAATTTTGCATTTATGCTTCGCAGATGATTCATAGAAGGTATCACGAAAAATTTATGAAACGAAACGGCTAAAATGGAATGTTGAAAAGAAAAACAACTGTTGTTTATGTCTGGATATGCATTCTTGATTTCAATTTTGGCGGCTTTGTCCTGTGGATTTGTCAAGCATGTCAAGCATGAAGCAGCAGGAAACGCATCTGGCATGCGTGTGTTTTGTTCTGTGTCATTCTCTGACATTTGCAATATTTATTATTAGCAAATCAGCTGTTTTCTTGATTTCTTGAAAACAAGAAAGTGATTTTTGATGAAATAAGAAATAATAATCTACGATTTGAATGACTATAATAATGAGTAATAAATAATGAATAATAGCATATCAACCATACCAAATCATGAGTGATGCCAATGCGGACACGTATTAAAATGATGAATAATTGTTTACTTGGTCAACTAATCATCAAACTTTATTGAGTTGCTTTGCTAGTAAAAACATCAGTAGTGATATTGATAAAGAGGTCAGAATTCGAGTGTCAACTGGAGAAACCATCAACTCATATCACACAGTTTATGACTGGCTTCAGTATTTAGTTGAATATAATAAGTCATCAGACATGTTACATTCAAAGCAGGCTCTCCTGCTTCTCAGCTTCATTCTTGTGACCACTGCAACTGATATATCGAATAATATCCCATTTGCTGTGAAATCTGACGAGTTAGATCATGGAGAACAAGCTATTCCAAAGGAAGATTCTGAAGGAATTTTAACTGACTTACAAGGAAAGGTTTGTATCTGTTTCATTTCATTTATTTAATTCATTATTGGGTATTTCTAAACCCTCATAAGATCTCTTCATCCTACATGACATTCCCTATATGCATGCTATATCAACTGGCAATTGGATGAAATACATAATTTTCATTTATTCAAAAAGGTAAAAATAGATACCTGGAATACCCCTAATGTTTATATTATGCCTTATATAATTAATATTCATTGTCTTATAACTTCTATAGCTGTCATGGATGGAGAGGTGATCATAATTCATAGTGTTGAAGGATCACATCATTATATTTTCCTCATATCAACAAACTAAGTTCCTATTCTTTCTTGGCTTGTATAAAAACAGCTACCAACTAGTGTATTGGGAGTTGTATTTAATTAATGTGATCAAAATATTATTTATTTTGCTAATCTTATAGATATTTATTTATTATTTATCTCATATTTTTCCTGTTTTATCACTCAATGGTGTATAATCTCTGCTCAATGGCAAATATTCAATCAATTCAGAGGTCAAATTGGTTTGATAAATTATAATTTCATTTCTCAGAAGGATTCTTATGTAAATACTTGTTCTAGTTTAGGGATACACAAGCATTAATCTAAATGAGGCACTTTTTCTGTTATTTTTTTTCAATTTTATTTTGTGAGGAATGCGAATTTATTATTGTATACAACATGAATAAAAAAGTGAAACTGACTCAAAGAAAGGACATCAGACCCTTAAGATTGATGTACAAGTTAAATTTCTTTCAATAATTTCTTTGTTTATACTCTGATATGTTTATAGTATTTGCAAATAACTATTTTTGACAGTATATAATATAATTATTATACATGGTGTCCGGTAAATCAGGAATCATAGGAGGGATTATACTCTAGCAGGTACTAAACTAGTTAATAACCTATCAGGAAACCAAAACTCCACCTTAGTAAAAACTTCATGGTTTTCGAGATAATGGAAATTTTATAAAAAAAAATTGAATTCTTATCAGGGATTTTTCTTTCATGTTCCAAGCAAATAAGGAGTGTTTCATGTTAATGTTTATTTTCAATAAATATTACTGAATAGTAGGTAATTGTAACAATTGCAGTTGACAGATTCTCTCTAGCAATCATTTACAGTTTACAAAATAAAAGAAATTATCTTCCGATTTGGATCTTTCCTGGTTTCTATGATGAATTTTTGTTCAAAGTTTTTGTAGACTCTGAATGACTCATCGAAATTCTATCTTCTGCAATAATTGTTACAACTACTATTAATAATAATAATAATAATAATCTATATTTGAAAAAAACAGCCAAGTACAAACACTAGACCTGTAAAAGTTTGTAGAAACAAATGGGCGTCAAACAATAAAGGCTTCTAAAACCATCACAAAAATTACACACAGTTACATAGGTTTATTAGAATTTTCTATATATCTTTTTTTAAAACGTTTGGAGAGGAAAGAAACTTCATCTTTCTGGTAACTTGTTGAACAATTTTATTGAATTATATAAAGCAATTTTTTCTGTTACCGCCAATCTATGTGCAGGGTGATTATAATTTATGTTTGTAGTGTTGGGGTACATAATCGGAAAAAATGGCCGATTCTTAGTTAAGAACAAGAGACATTCCTGAATATACACAGCAACAATTATTGCTAATATTTTAGCTGAACAAAACTTCCTCCTACATGATTCTCTATATAATAATTTAATTCATACATAAATCATACAACCCTTTTCTGAATAATAAATGAGCGGTCTATAGAACTACTACCGCCATAGAACACTATACCATGTCTGAAGAATGATTCAAAGTTAGCATGATACACAACTTTAAGAATATAAAAATTCAGATGCTTAGATATTATTCTTATCGTATAGCACACTTCACATAATTTGCTAGCTAATTCATTAATGTAGACATTCCAGTTAAGGTAAAGGTCTATATGGATTCCTGAAAATTTGGTACTAGGTGCTATTTTCAACTCTTTGTTATTCAACACAATATTACTAGGCACTGCCTGGTTTGCATGTCTAGTTGTAAATATAACAACATTTGTTTTCTCTTCATTTACAAATTGTTCATTTTCTGAAAACCACTAATTTATTAACTTGAACATTGTCTACTATAGGTTGAAACGTTCTTCCTTCAATCAAAATATTTGTATCATAAGCATAGTTTACCATTTTAAAATCAGAGTATGGTGTCAGGACATCACAGACATAATTGAGATATACTATGAAAACTATTGGGCCAGTATAATGCTGCCCTGGGGTACACCTATTTCAATGTCTGTTAATTGTGTGGCAGTAATAGTAAGTAATATTTATCGAAAATGTGAATTAATATGAAATGCACCATATTTGCTGGAAACATAAAATAATCATCTGATCTGATGGAGATCGGAATTCAATTTTGTTTTACAAAAGTTCCAATATTGTGAAATCCGTAAGGTTTTTACTGTGGTCAAGTTGTGGTTTTCTAATAGGTTATGAAATTATTCATTACCAGCTCGAGTATGATCCATAGCTTACCGAACACCCTGTAGGTCTACATAGAGACATTTGGACACTCTAGAAAAATTATATGAAACCATCAATGAAACAACCCATCTTTCACCTCTTTCTTTGAGCTGTTTCTTTCTGTAGATTGAGAACTCCAACGATGAGGATGAAAGAAAAACACATCCTTGTTTGGGGTGTCCCTTAGATCTGAATGTTGATGCACAGGGTGTTTCAACATTAATTGACACGGCCTTGAAACACGTAGAGTCCGAACATGACGAAAAACACGTTTTAATCAAGGTCCATAGACTGCAGCAACAGGTATAGATACCGTATATAAATTTAGCTATGCCTATTTTATAAAATCACTCCTTATTTTTTGAAGGTGGTAGCTGGAATAAAATATATTCTCCTCGTTGAAATGGCACCTACTCTTTGCCCAAAGAACACTCAAGTTTCCTCCTGCCCTATTGATCAGAATAAAGATACTTTCTTTTGCCAAATTGAATACCTAGAAAAGCCTTGGGTGAATCTGAGAAAAACAATTATAAAAAATAATTGTACTATATCCCAAGAGTTTGTACCCAGTGAGGAAAGTTTTGTCTCCAAAAAAGGTGGAGATAGACTCATTACCGATGACTTCTTGACTGATCTGGAATCTCAGATTATACCTGAGACGAGTGTCGGCGAACCCTTGAAAAATTCTTACTCATTAAATGATATCCATGAACCACTTAATAATGGACCAAATTTCCTCATGCATAAAGGAGTCCATCTTGGAAATGATGTACCAGAATTGATGTCTCCAAAAATGAATGAAAACGACCAACAAGAAGCAATTTATGAAGACATTGTCAAAGAAAATGCACAGAGATCTATGGGTGAAAATGAGCAACCAGTGCAGAATCCCTCTGAAGAAAACCATTCTTTAGAGGACAATGAGGAACTAGTACTTCTACGACAAAAACGATCCAATAAATCATGTGGGAAGAGTAGTAGTTCGAGTAGTAGTTCAAGTAGTAGCTCAAGCAGCAGTAGCTCCAGTAGCGATAGCGAAGACTGTAAAGAAAAAACGGACAAAAGAGAGCAAAAAAATGAAGTTGAAACTGAAAAAAATGAAATAGAAACTAGTGGAGGTAAATGGTCTGTTGGAAAAGGAGACAGTTTGTCTAAGGTATTATTGGT